AAAAAACGAAATCAATAGGAATCAAAGAGATTTCAAAAGACAATCAATAGGAATCAAGAGGGAAGAACAGGAAATCAATAGGAATCAACATCAAAAGGAATTCAAAACGACGTCAATAAGAATCAATAGGAGGAATATGTACTCAGCACGTCACAGGTATCCACTTAGAACATTAGGGACAAATCGATTGTTCTAAAACAGTGGTTTCTTTGATGTTCTAAAATAGTGTGTTTTTCTAGCGAAGGGTTCTCGTTTAACTGTGGGGGTCTGGGGGTAGAGCCTTGTTCGCGACTCGTTGTCGTAGCGTTCGCAACCGTTGTCAACCGTTTGCAACCGTACGCAACCGTCCGCGGTATAGGGCGCTATGGCGCTGACCTTGGGCGAAGCTTTTGGAGAGGGTTTTGGATGGAAGCATGACGTGTCAGATTCGTGTGAAATAATTAGCGAGGAAACGTGTGGAAACGTGAGATGTTGAAGTGTGGAGGATGATTTCACTGCGCAGGCGCACCGTTTTGTGATTGGCAGTTTCTGCGCAGTGAGATTGGGATAGGCGTTTAGAGTCTAGAGGGTGGTGTTTTTTGAGTGTTGGATGTGGGTGTGACATTGGGGCTTGCGTTTCAGGCTGTTGCTTCGAAGCTGTGTTTCGTGACAGGTCTCAGCTCAAATGGCGATTTTGGTGGATGGGAGTGTGCTCAGAACATGTCGAAATCATTCCAAACGTGTGGAGCGGTGCAAATTTTGCTGAAGTTAACATGATATAATCTTGTCACTTTTCGTGACGGGCGCAGTACTTTGTGCGGGCTTTGAGGTGTGGAAGTGCAATTTTCGTGGCAGGCGCAGGGAATCGTGAGGTTGCGGGGTGTGGCGGAGGTAACATGCCGTGGCAGGTGCAGTACTTTGTGCGCGTTGGAGGTGTGGACGTGCAATTTTCTTGGCAGGCGCAGGGAATCGTGAAATGCGAGTTGTGGTGGAGGTGAATGTGCTCCGATGGCCCTTCCCGTTTTCTTTTGGAGGAAGTCTCGTGCGAAATGCTCGTTTTGGAGACTTTGACATGTGACTTTGTGAGAAGTCCCCATACGTTTTGGAGACTTGGCACGTGAATTTTGGAGGAAGTCTCGTACGCAACATTGTTTTGCAGACTTGAAGTGTGAGGTATTGAGGGCTTGTCTCGTGCGAAACGCTCGTTTTGGAGAAAGTCTCGTACGACATGGTCGCTTTCGGAGACGTGACGGTTGACTTTTGGAGACTTTAGTAGTAGTGCCCCACAAGAGTGTCCCACAAGAGCGTTCCACAAGAGAGTGTCCGACGAGAGTGTCCTACAAGAGTGTCCCACAAGAGCGTCCTACAAGAATGTCCCACAAGAGTGTTCGACAACAGTGCCCTCCAAGAGTGTCCCACAAGAGTGTTCCACAAGAGTGTCGGACAAGTGTGTCCCGCAAGTGTGACCTACAAGAGTGTCCCACAAGAGTATCCTACCAGGGTGAAATACAAGAGTGTCGGACAACAGTGTCCCACAAGAGAGTTCCAGAAGAGTGTCCGACAAGAGTGCCCTACAAGAGTGTCCTACAAGGGTGTCCCACAAGAGTGTCCCGCAAGAGTGTTCCGCAAGAGTGTCCCACAAGAGTGTCATACAAGAGTGTCCCACAAGAGTGCCCACAAGAGTGTTCCACAAAAGAGTGTCCGAAAAGAGATGAAAAGAGTGTCCTACAAGAGTTTTCTACTAGGGTGCCCCACAAGAGTGACCTACAAGAGTGTTCCGCAAGGCCATACAAGAGTGTCCCACGAGAGAGTCCTACAAGAGTGTTCCGCAAAAGTGCCCCACGAGAGTGTCCTACAAGAGTGTTCTGCAAGAGTGTCTCACAAGAGTGGCGTACAAGAGTGTCCCGCAAGAGTGCGCCACAAGAGTGTCCCACAGAATCGGCAACTTGTAGCACAAATGCAATGCGGGAAGCAGCTGGGAGCTGTGGCCTCAGAACTGGCCACTTGGTAGTATAATTGTTGTGCAGAAAGCAGCTTCTAGGAGCTGGGTGGCCTCAGAACTGGCAACTTGTAGTACACATGTAATGCATTTCGTAGTACAAATGTAGTGCGGGAAGCGGCTTCTGGCAGGTGCGGCCTCAGAACCGTCCACTTGGTAGTGCAAATGTAGCTTCTGAGAGCTGTGGTCTTAGAACTGACCACTGGGTAGTACAAATGTAGTGCGGCAAGCAGCTTCTGCGAGCTGTAGAACTCGCAGCTTTGTAGTGCACATGTAGTACGGGAAGCAGCTTCTGGGAGCTGTGGCTTCAGAACTGTCAACTTATGTTGCCAAATTACATCCGAGTACGTGAGTGCCGTACGTGGGTGTCCAACTAGCAAGAGTGTTGCACTACAAGAGTCTCCTGCAAGAGTGTCCCACAGAGTGACGAGAGTGTCGCACGAGAGTGTCCCACAAGAGCGTTCTACTAGAGTGTCTCCTTCAAGATTCAGAGTGTAAAAAGCTGTTTGGGCGTTTGTTTTCAAGTCCGTGTTTGCATTCGGGCTCGTGGGCTCCATTTTGGCTTAATTCAATGCTCTAAGTTTCACTGCGCTACTGTAGGTTAGACTAGGCTAGACTATAGAATAGATAGATAGATCGTGATAATGATCGATGGGTGGGTGGTGGGCGGGCGGCGGGTGGGTGGGATGATGTATGTTGGGATGGATAGATAAATAGACAGAAAAACAAGTTAGATAGATAGATAGATATACATTGAATACTGATATTAATATGTGTATATACACATAACTTTTCCCTTGACTGGACCGTAGCACATATAGCAGATAGCCAGTGGATTTGGCCCAGTCAGCTGAATAGAGACGACTGGACCAACTAAGTGGTGTTCCTTCTCGTATGCGTGAGCTGCTGTGCCACAGGCCGCTTCGCAGCTCCACCACCCGAGCCGACTCCAAAGAAACCGGCCATGCCGGACCCACTCGGTGGGCTTCGTGTGAAGGATTGAGGGCCCACCAAAGTGTCGAAAAACAAAGCTTAGACCAACCCGGAGATGGCGTGCAAGCGCATTCGGCAGTGGTTTGATGTTGTTTGGTGTTACTATGTCTAAAAACACAAAGCAGCCATGATGCTTCCTGCAATCAGATGGCTAGATAGGTGGATAGGCCTCCAGACCCATGAAACACATCCCATTGGGGGATCTAGTACCTGTAGTAAGCGTAGACACTGGACACCTGTAACTTATAACGGACCTGAATTTTTCACAGGGCACATTGAATAGTTTCATCATGTGTTTTTTGTTAAGTTTTGTTTCATGGTTGGCTTAATTGAGGTGACAATTGAACAATAGTTCACGCTACTGTCTCAGATCTCGTGAGGTAAAGGGAATGGTTCACCATCCAACACAGGCCTTAATTTCTTAATTGTTTTGCAGACTTCAAGCGACTGTTTCCAGGAAGTCTTGGCTTACCAAGACCCCAAACTCTTGCAAAGGCTGCAAAACCTCCACCCTGGGAACCCGCTCATTCTGGCACTGGGTGCCAGGCAGGAAGAATTCACGCACCATTTGACATACTGGTAGCAATTGTTGTTTTTGCAGGTGCTTACTTTATCAAGCAGGCGTCTGCTTGATTAAGTAAGGCAGTAGTTCGCTACTAGCAATAGGAAACTTCCAGCTAGGGCGTAGGATAGGTCACGCTCCTTCAAGGAAACTCACCCCACCTGAGGCGGGGGGAAGTTTCCTTGAAGAAGTCACTAATGTTTTGGTTCCTAGATTCTTTAGGGAAACTTGACCTTTAGACTTTATCATATGACAGGTGGTACAGGAGATGTTGCTTCGACCTTCTTCGTTTCCTCAATGTGTTCCCACTCAATGTTCCCCCCTCGAAGCAGGAAACAGTGGGATGGAAGTTCAGCCCTTTACGTTGTCTTGGTTCCTATGGTTCATACAGACCTCCTGGAAAGTGTCTTCTGAAACAGCTCCAGTAACCCACAGCATTTGAAAGACCTATAGAATACAATTCCTTCTGCTTTTGTGTAAAGGCAGTAGCTGTTGCTGTAATTTGACGCATATGCACCGCCAGTTCGCTTCTACGCCAGTTTGGGTTTTGAAGACTAGGTTAATGTCCAGCTGCACGCAAGGAAATTCTTGTGATATCAGCTGTGCTGGGGCTTGTGCAGTGTTCAGCGTTTACGTGAGAGACAAGCCAAGCCCATCAGCCGTGGCCAAAACTAGTCACAATGACTTGATTTGCTTCACAGAAGTATACATCCAACTTTGGCTAAATGGCTCCCAAGGCCTGTTAATTTTGGGAGGCTGTTTGTCCTGTTTGGTTGGCTTTAGTTGACGTTTTGCACGGGGTGTTCTTCTTGGCATCAAGGATGCTGGATTTGCACAGACTGTCGATTCCCATCGCTTCACTTTGGACAGGGCTGATGTTAATGTCACACCCTGCATGCAATTGCGGGGGTGGATTGGTTTTGACATGTTCACAGCGGCAAAACAAGAGCCTGTTCTGTTTGCATCTAATAAGTCTAATTGCGCCTGCCTATAATGGTAATTCTTGCCAGCTCGTGAGCTAAGGACTTCGTGAGCTGTATCACAATAGTTGTGGGAGTTGCGGGTAGGTCAAACGGGAAGGCAAAACAGAGATGTCCCAAGATGTCCCAAGCAAGCACCGCTCGGCCAACGGGAAAACCCCCTTTTTTTTTTTCTCGGAGTGCATTGCCATGAGTTTCTGATGTTGACAGGATTCAAAACATAAATACAACTCGTTGCAAGACCTCCTCCAAGATAAAGTTAATTAGAAGAGGTTTGTATTGGCTCCCCTACTGTCCAACAAGCACCATGGGTGTTCACAGGTCCCAAAGCCTCCATGTTTTACAACTGTTCATGATAGCGTCAACGATTTGAAACTCAACACTAAAGACACTTCAAAAGTGCTTCTTTGCAGACGTGCTTTTCTCGTGGATGACTTTGCCAGAGTTGTTGCTACTCCCCGCCACGTTGCCGCCGTGCTGGCTAAACAGAGCTGTTGGCATTCCTGAACAGAAAGAAACCACACGTGGACGAAGCAGGCGCGCCAACGCGCCAGCGGTTGGCGAGGCCTGTCCGGGGGCTGTGTCGTGCTGAAGATTTTGTGGATCCAACGCACCGTGGACTCGTCAAGGGACTCGACTACGGTCGATTTCTGTCCTGTGCCGACCGGGGTGAGGCGAGACAGCATCACAGCCGTGGAAGTCCAGACAGCATCAGGAAAGAACCTGACTGCTTGCAGTGCCATTTTTTGGCTAAGAACAAATCGGACATTCTTTTCCTTGATTCTCCATGCTAGCTACAGTGTAATAATACTAAAGAATAGGGTAAATGTTAAGTTATAGGAGCACTAAGTGGATCCTTTTTTTGCCCCCACGGAGACTCTAGGCACCCAGGAAAACCAATTATAGTGTGCAACCAGATAGCGAGTCCCCGGATCTGAGTGGCGACCTGGCCTCATGCTTCAAGTGTCCGAAGCTAACCTGGCCGTTCGGACCTCCGAGATGCTCGGTAGGCCGTCCGGACGTGGATTACGGCTGCCAATGAGCGAGGCATGTGGGTCGAACGGAGAGCAAACGGATTGGTGGAAGCAACGGTTGCGGAGCTGTTTTTTTGCATGTCAAAACGCATGCCATCCGTGAGAATTCAGAATAATCCCGAGTACCTATTAATAAACACTCCCCAATTAAAAAAACACCACGTCCGAACCCCTAAATTCGGTTTATATTTGGTTTTACATTGCCGCCCTTTCAAACCGCTACTAAACTACCAACATGGTCGATTTTGGTGGTAGTTTTTTTACTAGGTTCCAAAAACAACCGTAACTGCCCACCTCTGTCCGCCCTGTCTATCCACCATGACACGCCGTGTTTACACCAGCAGGCTTTCCTTCCCCCAATGGCACGGACTCACGCAAACGCACTTGCCACCGAGGTCATGCAACACCGCACGGCACAGCGACATCACCTTTCGAAAGCTTTAGCTGTTAGCCTACTGAAGAATCACTGTTCTAATGAAGGTTTTTGTAGGGGAAAAGGAAGACCCTTCGATCTGGAGCTTTTTTGCATTTTTGATACGAGTTTAATAAAGGATTTTATATAAACTTTTACTGACTTACTTTTTGGTTTTGAAGCTCTTCCCAGGTGATCTATTTTGGACCCCCCGATTTCAGGGACCCCCTATTAGAAAAAATGCGACCGAGGTTTTTTTAATAGGGGGGGGGGGGCCCGTGTTTATTATTAGGGGGACCGGATTATATTGAGGGCTATGTGGCCAAATAGATCCAAATAGGTGATTCAATGGTGTACTCGATTCTATTATGTTTTGTCGGTAACAATCTGGTTAGAGTCGAGACAAACCCCATAGCTGTCATACTGACAGCCGACCATGTGATAGGTGACATTAGGATCATTAGGATTGACACGTCGTAGATTATAGTTGGAACATATAGTTGTGGATGTTGGAACATAGCGCTGGCAACATAATCCGGTCCACCTATTAAAAACCACGCCTCCCCGCCCCCCCTAATAAGGAAACCTCGGTTGCATTTGTGTTAATAGGGGGTCCCGGAAATCAGGGTGGTCCAAAATAGGGTCACCTGGGAAGGGCTTCAAAACCAAAAAGTCACCCGCAGGAAAATGTTTATATAAAACATGATTTATTAAATTCATATCAAAATTCAAAAAACCTCCAGATCGAAGGGTCTTCCTTTTCCCCCTACAAAAACCTCCATTAGAATAGTGATTCTTCATTAGACTAACAAGTAAAGCTTTCGAAAGGTGATGTGAATGTGTCATGCGGTTTTGCGTGACCTTGGTGGAAAGTGCGTTTTCGTGAGTCCGTGCCATTGGGGGAAGGAAAGCCTGCTGGTGTAAACACGGCGTGTCATGGTGAATAGACAGGGTGAACAGAGGTGGGCAGTTACGGTTGTTTTTGGAACCTAATTTTAAAAAATCCTCCAAAGTCGGCCATGTTGGTAGTTTAGTAGCGGCTTGAAAGGGTGGTAATTTCACAACGAAATAAACTGTATTTAGGGGGCTCCGACGTGATTTTTTTTTAAAATAGGGGTCCGGTTGTAAATAGGTACTCGGGATTAGTGAGAGAGAGATTTTGTCGGCAATAGTTGGGTCATGACAGTCGGCGGTCGATAAAGCGGTTGATTATGGTTGATTTGTTATCAGGGAAGCTTCTTGCACCCAGATACGATCTCAGGGGGTATTTAGAGCCTTTCTGAAGCTTTGCATATATAGAATCGACTCAGAAATTGTGGAGGAGAACTCTGGACCAATCTCCTTCCAGATGTTGCTGTTCCAAAAGCAATGCGTCTTCGGATTTGTGTAATTTATTATAATTTATTTCCTTTAAAAGCTAGAACAGAGGTCGACCTTGATTTTGTTTGGATCTTTTGGAGATGTGCTGAACGTGCAAGTCTGCAATTCACTGCAGGTGCTGTTTGTAGAGCTGGCTGCAACGGATCCCCTTTGTTCGGGTCCCACTCCGCGCGGAGCATCCGCTCCACTGAGGCCGATTCGGTGCCTCCGGAGGCGCACTTCGGGCACTGCACTTCGGCGTGGGTGTGGTGTGTGGTCATCCTGATCGATGAATGAACCGGGTTTCATAGTTGGATCTTCAGGGATCCGGGATGATCCGGGTGTGATGGATGTGGTTGATCGAGGATGTCACTTGACTCCCCATGCTAACGGGCCAAGTGCGGCACACCACATACTGACCGAGTGAGTGTCAAGCATTTCCCAGCACGGGAGGACCAGGAGGTAGGCCGGGACCACCACGTGTGTCATTTTCCCGTTGCCAAAGTCGAAACGCATGAACACGCTTCCCAACCATGGACATGCACAGAAATAACAGAAAGGTTACGAAGGTTCCATTTCCTCGAACGGACTCCACCAACTCGACTATGTTTGGAATAGAGTAGATAGATGTAGATAGTGTTTCAGGATGTTTCAGGTGTCTCTGGCTTCGCATCCTTGGAACAAGACGCTTTTCTGCACCGCCCAACGGTTCTCCCAGCCACGCGGCTCGTGGCCGCAGCGGAAGGTCTTCCAATTGATTGCTGCCGGGCGCTTCTCGGAGCTCCGCGCCGCGTGCGAGGACAGCTGTGTTTTGTTTTGCTCAAGACCTGCACAGCTGCGGCTGCAGTTTTATGGAGGAGAAACACATGGGATGACTATGGGGGTCTAGATGGAGTTGGTTAAGAGATGTGAAAAAGGAGCAGTTGATCAATTGATGTCCAAGCAGTTCATCACCCTGTGATGTTCCAAAGGAGTTAGAGCTGTCGCCTAGCTTTAACGAACCCACCGCAGAGCAGGCGAGACGTCGGACTGGTGGCCCTTGAGACAGTGTCTTGATTTGGACACCAAGACAGCTTCTGGTCGCCAATGGGATATAGCCTTTTTGGGTCAGCGATTCGATTGCCTGACCAGCTGCCCGACCTTTGGGCATCGCTCAAAAGATACGCAGCTGAGAACTAGACATGGACCATGGCCAGGGGAAAAGGGATGAAAAGGGGTCTATCTACATGTAGATTGAGGGGAGAGCTTCTATGTTCATGACTCAGCAGTGTAACCTTCAGGTAATTCAAGAATCGAGCCGATTTTAGGGAAAGATGGATGTTCCATCCATGTCTATCCAAGCTTAGAGTTGCAGGTGGACCAAGATGGTCTTCGTTGCGCCGCGCATCTCCTCACCTACCTCTTAGAAGGCACGCATTTCGCAGCCGCATGCTTGAGGCCTTCCACATCCACCCTAAATTTGATGTTGTTGTTGTTTGCATGATTATCAATGAGTCATAATGAGCAATGAGTGCACATTAGCACATTAAAGGGCGAATCTGACCTCCCTTGGGCGTCAATCCCCCCAGCATGCTTTCCAAATTCGGATGTTTGCGGGCCCAAATTATTGGTTGAATGAGAAGGTGCAGCTCTTGAAAACCTCAAATCCTGCTTGACACCGACCGGTCTTGCTCAGTTGTTTCCTTTTCTTAATTGCCATGTGTTTGATCGTGAGATATCGTGAGTATATTATTATATGAGCTACGGTCAAAACATGCAAAGACCACTTGTATTATGATGACATATTCTGCTGTCTCATCTCTCCTTTGCACTCAGCAAATGAGAGACACTTTTTTTATAGATGCTATTCGATTACCTTTGCGTGCTTTATTGGAATTAAACACGGATAATATTCACTGCAGAGCTACAGTCTGGGCAGTCTGTCCACTGGTGTCGAGGCCAGCTGGATGCAGCAAGATTTCTTTGGAAAAGGACCCGTCATTTCTGTTGACGACTTGCCATTGTGGAGGGTGGCACTGAATCTCTCTCAGGCAAGCGAGTACAAGATAAGAGCAATCAGATGAGCAATTGCTCTTGAAAAAGATCCAGTTCAAATTGATCAATCAATAAATGCTACTTCAAAGGGGCTTGCAAGCTCAAGGCTTTACTCTTTCTGAGTGTAGTCCGTGCTGGTACCCGTGCTATGCCAATTGTCATGGCCCGATTTCCAAAGTCGAGCATTGGTTGGACATGGCCTGACTTCTGGTCATGTCAGTCTTGGTCTTCAAATGATGAGACGCCTCAGACACACCAACAATGGCAAGAATAAATCACGAAAGGTAGCTCTTTAGGGGATACCTTGAGTTTGTCTTGCGAAGCAAGTGTTGGGACGTCCGGGTCTAATAATTGATCATTCAATTCAACCCCC